CTCTCATATGCACATATGTGCTCTCTATCGTGCATAAAATAAACTTTAAAAAAAGAAACTGAGTTGTTGAAAATAATGGCAGACATAGTTCTTATAAATCTGAGTTTGTGTCTTGATATTCACGCACACGAATGAGACAATGCAGATTAGATATCTACTCTAAACTCAGAACATTGCAATCACTATTTCAACTACTACTACTAAAAAACTAAAATTATTTTTCACAGCTTACCAGTATTCATCACTCTTTTTGGAAAATTTGAATCTATCATCAATGTAATATAAAAGATACACTATCAAATTATATCTGTTCCTATCCCAGTGTTGTGTCTCATTTTGTGTACAAATAGACTTAACCCTTAGGTGCTTTGTAAGTAAATCTTTTTGTTGGAATAACCAAATAACATGAGTGCTTTCTTCTTTGTTATTAAACAATGGTTTTAATTCTATATCATTTAAAAACTGGCTGGATGAGTGTTATTTTTTGGCATATACTCTGTTCTAAAGTTGGTAAAGAATAAAATAAAGTGCAAATATGGCAGGCAAGAATCTTTACTTCAAAATTATAAATTAAGATGCTAGAAGTCTTAGCCACTGAATTGCTAGAAATTAAAAACAAAAATCCTCTTAATAGGCTACATACAGAAATGAGTGAAAAAAACATTCTTATTTTTGTGAGCAGGCTTCAGAAATGTGACAAAGATTAAACTACACACTTTGAAAATAAACATGCAGTGTTATTGACACAAGCAAGATTCTCCATAAACAGTCATCAACACTGATGTTGTTACGAGGTTAAAAGTAATCATCCGTAAGCTAGCTTCTCAACCATTCATGTACTCTTTAATCTTTCATGCTACAAGAAGTAGAGTCCTAGTTCATAAAATATTTTAAAGAGTTAATATTATTGTTCTTCCTATTGATCTTTTTCAACTGTGAATATCATAGTAAATATCATATAGTTTGTTACTGATTCAAATAAAATTCAGGATCTTACTGTGGATTCACTGTACCTAGAAAATGGTGTCAAAGCACTGATGCACGAGAAATGTATTTCAGAGAGTGCTGGAGAGGAGAGAATTTATAAGGCTTATCTTTATTCTAGTATATAAATATGTTTGGCCTCTTGACTGGCAGGAGTGGCATAGTGACCAAGCACACAGACTCTATACCCACTCTGGGTTCAAATTCTCAGCTGTGCCACATACTAGCTATACGAGCCCCAGCAAATTACTAAATACTCTGTGCCTCAAGGTCCACATCAGACAAAATAGACACTAAAATTACCTTTCTTATAGGGTTGCCTGAAAATTAGGTAGATAATTATATAGTAAATATTTGAAACAGACACTAGCACATAACAAATGCTATGCAAGCAATAATTATTATTTTTGGTCATGTAAAAAATAGATGATGTGGTCTAGACTCTCCTTTTTAAAAATCATATTATAAATAATCATCCTTGTAAATATAAAGTGTATATATTTAATTGAGTAAATATTTATATATATTTGAGTCCTTACTATGTACCAGGCCCTGTCATAAACAGTGCACATATTTTAAGACATCTAATATATATAGAAACAACACTTATAATATTGGGATGTCGGGAAAGTCATGATGCATTTTTGCATAGAAAAACATAGAATAAAAGTCATGACTTGACTGATAATTAATAAAACATATTCCTATTAGAACTTGGAAGGAAATTAAAGACATTTTTCCATTCAAAATTCTTATTTTAAAGAATTACTTACTCTAGCACTTACCAAGATAATCAGCTCTGGGTAAATATACAAAGTTCTCAGTTATTATCACTGGGATAAAAACGAACTCTTACAGAACACTGAGATGGTATTAAATGACTAGTGTAGCGTACAACTTGACATACTTAGTGTTCAAGACAAAAATTTAGCCTAGTATACTTGATTGCTAAGAAGGCTATTTTAAATATGGTTAATGAAAAGCCAGACTGAATTCAGGCTAATTTAGGTACAAATCAAGCTTATTTAAACATACATATGTCAAATCCAAAAGGATTGTCTGCTACCCCTTTTTTCCTACAAGAATATCTCAATCTGTGCTCATATCAGCATAATTAGCAACTTATGTCACTTTGGTTGAGATAAATATTAATTAAAGAACATGTTTATGTCAATAAACACTTGTCTCTCAAAGCTGCACTTTGAAATGTACTATCACCTGGCTCTATAAAAGGCAAGCTCGGTGGTAGCTCCTAAGACCTGCTGGGGTAAATATTTGCCTACCCTAGTGGATGCTTCTTTTGCATACAAACCCCTTTGTAAATATAGCTCACAATTGTCAATATGAAGCACAGGGAAATGAGTTTCTGTGCAGAAAACAGAACTGTTTGCTTATTCCCACAGATCCGGCAATTCTGTGCCTTCTACTTGTTGGCAGGCAGTGACAGCTGGCCACTGCAGAATGGACAAAAACATTTCCCCCTGGCATGTTCTCTTCACTGGCCTATGTTGAACAGAGGCCAAGTTCATTTATAGCTATTTCAAGGACAGAATTTAAGATTATTTCAAGGGCTCTAACAACATTTGTTTTTCCAAGGTGGCATGGCATGATACCCAATCTTGGTCAGCTCAAAGATTTAACATCTACAACATCTCTCCAAGTGGGGCAAGTTTTCATAATTATAAAACACACTCTTGTCATCCAGGAGCCTTACCAAAACAATTCAAAAACAATGTACACTTTCTCCATTTCCTTCAGTATAAACTTCCTCCAAATGCTCTCAGGTTTCTTGAGTGCAGAAGGAGGTTAAATAAATGTTGAAAACAAACCATTAGACTTGCTGGGCTGGATATTTGAATAGCCTCCAAATTCCAGCATGGCCACTTCTTTCTGAGGTACCCATTTTAATCGTAGGATATTAAAGCAGTTGGTAAACATTAACTCACAGATCCTTTTAGAAATCTTTCTAGAGGGTAGATGACTGACCTCACAAGTAGGAAGGTGCCTACAGGGCTTCCCTCTGAAAATTATGACAGGTACCTGTCCATGTCTTGTTCAGATGGGAGAGATGCATGTCCATGTTTCACAGTCCAGTGTTAAGGTCAAGGCCCACCTAGTTGTCAACGTTCCATATCCATTTATTAAATGAAAGAAACTCTGCATGTGGTTAAAATGATCTTTTACAGGCAAAGTGATGGCACAGTGATAATGCATCTGGATGCATATGGAGAAGGTCCTCTTCAGTCATGACCTCCCTGAACATGCTGGGAACACGTATACCCATAATCCATGCCAACTTAGACTGGGGATGAAACATGTCATTAGCAACCTATGTCTGTTTCTATTTGTCTCTCTCCCATGGAAGAAGTAAATAAACTATTTTTTATATAACTATCTCTCCCCTCGTTATTAGGGTGATGTCACCTAAAATCTAAGGAACAAAAAGTTTCAAATTAAAAAAAGGGTCCAGGAAAATAGATCTTCTCTATTTAGACTCTTTTTTTCCCTGAAAACAAAGTATCTGTATTTGTAGAATAAGAATTCTGCTCTTTCAGCACTTGAATCCGTTTTAACTCGTTTCTTCATTATCTCTCCTAAATGTTCTCTTGTTGCAACATTCTCCACACTTAGAAATAACAAACACTAGATGTAGACCTGAGTGCTCAAAATATATCCTTTAAAACTAGTGGGAATCATTTTCAAAATCCATCAACTTCTTAAGTTATCATGAAATAAATATGTAGACCAAGATGCGATCTGGCCCCCTCAATCCATTTGCCAACCCCTTTTTATACGCTTCTTGGATTTTATAGTCTTGAAAGAATATGGTTCATTGAAAAAGTTAAGAGTTAAAAGCTTTAGTCTAATAATGTTCCGTCTTCCAGTATTCAGAGAACTCGTAAGCTATATAATGTACCTCTAGATATAATATTTATTTTTCTGTAAATAATTTGTTTTATAACATCTCCTTCCTGAAACTATATTTTTTTAAAGTCTAAAAACTACATGAATATTTATCTTTTTAAAAAAAATAGGCAGAAAATAGGTAGAAATGATTCTACAATAGAAACGCTTCCCATCCAGCAAAGTCTTCTTTGAAATGGAAAAATCTTAGGTGAGTTGGTGATAACATTCATTCCAGCTCCTGATGAAAGTTACGAAGGTTAGGCTTCCCACACCTCCAGCTCTGCTCCTTCATCCACACAAGTTCTACAGTCAAGAGCCTTAGCTTCTAAGACCTTGCTAAAAAGGAAGAACTTGAGAAAGGTTCAGGAGTAGAAGGCACTGGGCCCAAAACCTGGGCTTGCTCCATGTTCTGGTCCCCGAGTAAATTTCTGAGCAGTTGTATGAAGAAGAGAAATCACTGCCTGTGAATCTACTATTTATCCCAATTCTCTGAAGTTGAAGCTATCATTTCAAAGTGTTATATAATTGGTTTCTTCTTTACTATTCACATATTTGCCTTGCTTGAAGGATCTGATGCTTTTCCATACTTAAGAATACTTAACACAGTTTTGAGATTTTGGTTTTGTTGCCAATTTCAAAACATACCTATGGGATGTCACCAAAGACTAGCAATAGTAAATTTACATCATCAATCTAATACTATTTGAAAGAATGATTTTTAATAATTACTTTCCTACTCTACTTTTCTTTTTTATTTTGCTAGAGGGTGCATGTACTTGCTGAAAAGAAAGTGGGAAAGCATCCCTGCCTCCCCATGGGGAATGGCCACACCACAATACCTTCTCCTCCATCTCTCCCTCCTTTTCAGGATTTTGGGCATGCACACACAGGCACCTGTAATGTTTGTCAAGCTGCTGGGTCTGAGTCTCAGGCTATGCAGCTGGCCACATAGGACACAGCCCTCCAAACCACCATACTACAGGTCAGCTCCCATTATCTTTCAACTACAATTTAATACTGTTAAAATTTCCACAAAACTTAACTTTGGTAGGACTTCACTTAGTATTAGAGTAAATCCTCAAATAATCAATATACTCTATTTTTTATTAAATATGAATCATGGGTGAGATACCCCTGCCCAATAAAATAATAATATCATCTCAGAGATAAACTAGCAAAGCCCACATAGTCTGTGTGATTGATCAATTGTCATAATGAACTAAGGACTTGCCTATAAACCTGATCCTCTTCATTCAGGCTAAACATTTACTATTTGGTCCTTTATAGAAAACATTATTCAACTCTTGATATAAAGCAGTATTCCAAGAAACTGAAGTATAAAAGTCTTTCTTTTCCCTAAAACCACTCACATTCTTTTCTATCCCTTTCTCCTACCCCTTGTCAGAATGCTCTGGGAATATCTCAGAGAGCCAGGCTAAAATACCGTTACATTTTAGTAAGCAGAAGCTTTATTAGTTGTATACCGTAACATATTTGGGGAAGGGCTTTTTACTGAGTGTTGTTGCCAATAGGGTAGATGACCCTTCTCCCCTACCAAATTCTAACACCAACAGCTGCAGTGGTAAGTGGAAGCCTCTCTGTGCCCTCTAGAGCAGACATGTACATCTCCCAAGAAAAGGTGCTTGTAGATACCCATTCGAGGTTGCTTTTGCTTTTTCAGATGCATTGAAGTCAGAGGCTGGTCCTCAAAATTGGAGGCTGATATTTTGGCACACAGATTGGCTGGGAGTTGAGAATTCACCATAACTATACTGACAGACATCACTGTATTAACCTGTAGTGAAACGTCTGGATCTGCAGAACACTGTACTATTTCCTGGAAGATGAACTACCTGGAAAACCATGTTTTCATGATGCTTGTAAAACTAGAACAAGAACAAAGGAAATTAGGAACCAGCAGTTAGTGTAATGGCTAAATCGCTGGACTCCCACGTAGTTGACCACAGTTCGCGTCCTAGACCCGGTGGCTTAAAACTCACGCCGAGCGCATGTGCGTGCGTGCCCAAGACCCCTAGAGGAGAATGGAGGAGAAGAGATTGCGGTGTAAACATCCCCCCAGCGGGTGATTTCTCGCTTTCTGTCTCTATGTCTCTCTCTGTCTGCTGTCTGTCTGGTGAGCACACACGCCCTATAGCGAAAATCTCTCCAAAAAAAAAAAAAAAAAGAACAAAGGAAATCAGTTATAGAGGAAGAAAGTTAAATAGGATCAGGACACATCTATTGGAAGGAGAGACCTCTTGCCAGTCAGACAAGGCACTACTCAATAAATAGAGTGCTTGAATGAGTATGGTTTCTCTTTTTCTACCTATGGGTCAGTGATTGTTAATGCTGAATGAACAGCAGAATGTCTTACTAGACTTTGAAAAGCATAAATTATTGCTACCACAATCACTCTCCATTCCAAGATCAAATTAATCAAAATGGGGGGTGACTCAGAGGCCAGCTCTGTGATCTGGTGGTTAAGGGAGCTGATCCCCATGGTTGAGTGTGTATTTCAAGGCCTGAATCCAGAGGTTTGATAAACACACTGAGTGTATGAAATTTAAAAAGGAGAGAGAGATGGAAGAAAAGGGATTACAGTTTAACTATTCCCTAAAGGAGGTGATTGCTCCTCTCTCTCTCCCTCTCTCTCTCTCTCAAGTGCATATGCCCTCTAGTATCAAAAGAAAAAAAAAAAGTGACCCAGAAATCTTATTTAGGGGATTCTGACACAGATAGCTTCAGCATTTGATAATTCAAGTTCGGTGAAATCAGACAACTATGAATCACAATTCTGAATCTGTCACTTAGAAAAAATAACTTTGGGGAGCTATGCAACCATTCAGAACCTATGCATTCTAATCTGTAAAATGGATGTGATCACTTTTATCAGGGACATTGGAAGAATTCAATGAGATAGTATTATAAACCCAATGCTGGCTTAAGTGCTCAGTAAACTAGGTAGCTGTTGGTTATCTTTTCCTAAATAAAGTGTAATAAAATTCATTCCCTAAATAAAGTGTAATAAAATTAAGTCATTGCATATATTGTTACATTCCTGGGTTAGCTCTAGAACCCTGAGTAATTTTCTAATCATTCTGATTGGAATCTTAGGTATAATGGCACATGGTAACAGACAAGTTCTTTGTTGATTCCTGAAGAAGGTTGACCACCTAGAATGAATTTACTAGTTTAACATCTCAAGAGCAATCTCCTCTACTCGAAAATTCTTGAGTATGGATGTCTCACCAATGCCCTCCAAAATGTCCCCTCTTCAAAAACATGCCTTTTTGTCTGTATTATTATCACAGGAGACTCAAAGCATGTATCAGTCAATTTGGACTATTTTAACCTAAAACAAAGCTCATTGGTTATGCTTTGAGAAAATATTAATAAAATGAACCATGTGGCTGAAAGATACGTGGATGGGGAATGCTAAAAGCTTGAATTTAAATAATAGGTGAAGTTTGTATAACATTATTTTGTCCTCCTCTTTAGACACACTCACAGAACAGAACAGAAGCTAATAGGAGAAAACAGGATGAATGGTATAGTCTAGAGAAGGAAACAGACAGGGCAAGCCCTGCTCATTGCCAAATAACTCCCATTAAAAGCCTAGAGTGTAAAGACCATTCACATCGGAGCCTCATTTACCAGAGGAGGGTCACCCTGATTCTGAAGAGACTCTAGTTTCCTGCATGACAAGATGGTATAACCCATGTTCCCTCAGTTTTCAGGAACCTGCAGGGTAGAAGTGAACACTATGATACTGACCAAAATAAAACCTGCCTCTGTGTGCTCTCACTCTCTCACTGGTTCTGCATAACCGTATACCTCAGAGCGTTACCTGGAAATCTCTGGGCATGCATAAGAGTCGTCCCATATGACCAGGGAATGAGACTGCCAGTGGCCCATGGTCTGGGCAATCTTATGGAGCTTTCTTTGCTGTAGGCCCATTTGGTGATCTCTCCTTTGGGTCGACAACCAGTCACTGTGTATTCCCACCAGAAACTAACTACTGGCTATTTGTGCCTCATGCTGTGTCTGTTTCTATTATTATGAAGCCATTTTATTGACAAACCAGACAGAGAATGCAGAAGTTCTTAAGTGGCCGGACAGAGAAACAAAGAGGATCTCTCTTTTACCTTTGATATCAAACTTTGTAACATGTACAAAACATTGCTTTAAATGTCCCAAGTGTGTTTGAGAGGATTCTCTAGGTATTTATTCATAACACCATTCTTCCATAAATGTCCCAAGTGTCTTAGAGAGGATTTCGTAAAAACAGTCCTCTAGGTATTTATTCATAACACCATTCTTCCTTTCCTCACTTCCTGAGGACCCAGACTTAATATCATAGGGAGTTCCAGAGACAAATACTGCTCTCTCCTCACTATTTATACACACACACACAGACACACACAGACACACAGACACACACACCACTGGCCTTCGTTATCTGCCCCAGCTTATTTTCCTGACTCTGTTTCATCCTAAGATCACCTCTCCACTGGAGGACACTTTGTCCCTAGGTAAACAGCTTCTGCTGGCTGGTCTTTCAAGTTCAATTGACCAAAAATCTGAATTCCAGCAACCAACACCTTCAACTCACAACTGAGGCCCACTGCATGACAAAGATGAAAGTCGGGGAAATTTGAAAAGAGAAAGTGAGAAAGCTGATGAGGAACAGTATTTTATTTTTCCACTTACAAAATAGTCAGCAAGGCAATTTACCCACTCTGGACTTTCTGTTCTTGTTTTTGCTGCTACTTTTAATTCATGTTATTTCAGGTTAACATTGCTAATGGCAGTGCGCGGCCTTGCCAGGTGTGCCTGAAAGGAGTGCATATAACTTGCTATCTTGTGACCCTCTGGTTTACTGGTTTTGGGAACGTAAAAAGAGAATTCAAGGAATGAAAGATTGAAAATAAGTCCTTCTTGCATTGCTGGAAGAGGAGCCACTGACAAAGACAGGTAGAGAGATGATAGCTGCTTTACATTAAAAAAATAAATTAAACAAACAAAACCAAAATGGGCCAACCTCACAGTTATAAGGGAGCCAGATCCTACCTGCAGACTGCATTATGAATCCTGGACCCAGTAGCTTGAAAAAGACAACAGGCATGTGTGTGTGCATGCCTAAAATCCCAACAGGATGGAGAAATGGAGAAGGAGGGGTTGTGTTAAGACCATGTGCCATTGAGGGGTGCTATATTTTCCTCTCTCTCACAATTAAAATAAACAAATGAAAAGCCCTGTTATACTTCCAGAGATTGAGAAAACAAAACTTCATGCATAAACTGTATTTCACCTAGCATCTCATATGATCACATGCATATTTCTAACCACTTACTGATCTTCAAAGAGTAATTACTTTTTTATGTCATTTGAATACATGTTTTTTCAGTCTTTTGTAAACTTTTTTTTTTTGCAAATATGCTCATAAGCTTGTTCCAGGCAGTTATTAGAAACATTGTTTTAAATTTTAAACATTGTTTTATGTTTAACTATGACAGATTGAATCAGAGGAAATATAAAGGGTTGCATGACTCAGTGTTTACAATAAAGAATTTTTAAATTTCATTGTAAAGGAACATACTATAGGAATTGTCATAAAGCACTAGAGAACAAATATTTCAACATTTACTAGCCAAATATTGTAATTGCTGAACAATTAATAATTGTTCAATTGACAATTATTTAACAGTAAATGCTATTTCAACAATTACTTCAAATAATTGCCATTTTTGACACTTTCAAAGGAAGTTTAATTTAATGTAACTTGAGTTAGACGGTCTTTTTATTTCACAGCAGCATGTGTCTGTAGACGTGAATAACAAATCTAAATTCAGGGAGCTGAGCCAAAGTCGCATTTGCAATTTGTAAAATTTAAACCATCTCTGTGAAGATGTTTTTAAGTCAATGTGCAGACCATGTTTACGCTGTTTTATTTCTGTCTAGCTTTAGATTTGTGGGTTAATGATTATTTTTACAATGCAGTAGCTCTGTATACAATACATATACCTTATTTTGCAGTTCAGGGAAAACATCATTAAAAGTAGTGTTTTTTTTTTTGTTATTACTTATTTGTTTTTTAAAGTATATGATATCCTGAAGTGAATTTCAGAAGTGGAAAGTGTTTAGTAAGGACTGTGAACACTAAGCCTTGTACTTCTGTTTCACATTCTGAAGATAACAAGAGGCACAGTTATAAATGTGTGAACAGGAGGCCAGCTGGTGGCATGTGGTTAAGGCGTCTGAATCCCACATAGCTGACAGCATGGTTTGAATCTTGGACCCAGTGGCTTAAAAATTACACTGGGTTCATGCCCTAAATCCCAAAAGGAGAAATGGAGAAAGAATTGTATGTGATCATTCCCCATGGGGAGTGCTTTCTTACCTTCTCTCTCTGTCTCTCTCAGGTGAGTGCATGCAACCTGTAGCAATGCTTTTTTCTTTTTTAAAGCATATGAACAGAGCTCTGTTCACAAATGTCTAGCACTTTCAGCTCTTAGGTCAGCCTGCTGGAGGAACAGATGCTGAAGGTCCTAGACAAAGTCAGCGTAGCATCAGAGACATTGTAACACCTACCTTTCCATTACATGTACCATATGCTAGGAATATTATCATTAGGTACCTGTATCAAAATACGGTAATTATAGTAGAGATCAAGGTTTATTACTCTCATATACATCCTACCATTTGTGCCATACATGAAAAGAAGTATTATCTTTATTTTTTGGATGAGGGCATTTAAAAAGCCCAGAGAACTCTGTGTTGGAAGTCAATGCTACCCATAGCAGAGAACAGGACAAAGAAGTCACAAATTCTTATTCGACCAGGTAGCACTTGTCACCTGGGAATTATCTAGTGTTTGAGGAAGAGGAAAAAGACCCTTTTGGTAAGAGGGACT